GGCAATATTATCGCTTATCGCAATAAATTTTGAGACAATTAATCGCCCAGCAAAATTTGTTATCGTGACAGGCCTAGTTAAAAGTGAAGAGAAGATGCTGGGATTTGGAAATGGAGTTTTTTGTCCCAACAAGGAGGAGTTCAGTTTTGTTATGGTTTAGTTGGAGGAAATTGTTGGAGAACCAGTTGTTGAGTTCACTGAGGCTGTCGGTAAGAGTTGAGGATGATAAGGTGGAGTTCGGTTTTGTCCAAATGTAGAGTTGAGTGTCGTCGGCATAAGAGTGGAAATGGATACCAAATTTACGGAAGATGTGGCCAAACGGGAGCAGATAGATTATGAAAAGAAGAGGCCAGAGTACAGAACCTTGGGGTACACCAGTGGAAATGGGTGAAGACTGAGAACGGAAGGACTTGAGCTGAATGAACTGAGTACTGTATGAACTGAGTGTGGTCATATATCTATATTTTTGCTGCCTCTTGGCCAGGACTCCATTGAAAAAGGTTTTTAATCTCAATGAGACTTTCCTGGTTAAAAAAAAAGGAAATGATAAATGCCGTCCACATAGCTACACATGCTTTTGGATTGGACAGCAAATATTTGTTGGCTGTGATTAAGTTCATCCACGGCAAACACAGCAGAGACATAAAATGATAAGAATGTTGTTTTTTATTTCAACCACCTTGAAGAAAGTTTTACGATCAGTCCATGGTTGCGCTGGTAGAGAGTACAGCAGCCATCATTAGCACCTGCCTGATCTGAGCGTGCCTACCTGAGGCAACACTAATACGACAGAAATTCTTCTTCTTCTCCTCACAACCGGTTTAAAGCTGTTTATCTGTACTTACTGGATAGAGGTATAGTGTGTAATTTTAGTGTGTCGGTGGAACAAAGCAGACACTACACAAATGCTGCCAAAATAAAAAGGAACTAAAACCTTTGTAGTGGAGTAAAAAGTATGATTTTATCATTAGATCATAGTGGAATGACAGTAATGACTTTAATGCTGCTGAAGTAAAGTGAAAATTCTCAAACAACTCATATACTGTACCCAAGTAAATTGACTTTGTTACTGCCTAAACTGAAACCAAACCTGACGTTTTATCATCCAGCATGTTGATGAAGTTCTCTCTGACCTGCAGGACCTTTGAGACGTCTCTGCTGCTGGACGAGTCCATCAGTGATGAGCTGCCTTACAGTGGTGAGCTGACCCTCCGTCTGTTAGTGCGGACCTGTGAAAACCTTCATCTCTGTGACAGTCCTCTGTTTGTAGCGCCACCTGTTGACAGCTGAGAGTCACAGTCTAACAGCTGTGGTTCAACTTGAAAATACAAAATAAAAACTTGTTTTTTAATAGATCTATACATTTTTCAATCTTACATCCATACTTTGGCCGTTTGGTCATATATTGTTTGAATAATCTCCATCTCCTGTAGTAACATCTCTTCCATCAATCATGATATGTGAGATTTGTCCTGATGCATCTCAGTAATCCAGGTAGAAAAAATCAAAAAGAAAAAATAAGTAGGTCCTATGGATGGGTTCTTCTTTAGTGAAGCGTTTCGTCTCTCGTCCAAGAGACTTCTTCAGTCAGATGAGTTTCAGCCATCCAGAGGACCTACTTATTTTTTCTTTTTGATATGTGAGATTGTTGCACCAATTGGTGCACCATTGGTTACTAAAATGATTCAGCTCATCCAGCAGACAGGTGCTGTGATGTTTGGTTTTATTAGCTTTGAGTCTTTTTAAAATATTTCATTTAGTTACAAATATGTTCTTTTTTAAAATACATTGTTTTTAAATCTGCTCCAGGATACTTGCTCTACTCTGCTGTTTTTAATTTTTAAGCTAGCATTTGGCTATTTTTGGCTTACATTTTACCACTTTTAGCTAGTGTTCAGCCACCTTTAGCTTTTAACTAGCCCTGTACAACTTTTAGCTTACCATTTACATTTCTTAACCATTTTGTTTACTACTTTTATCTACCATTCTGCTACTTTTAGCTTGTGTTCTGCTGTTTAGTTTATGAACACTGTAGTCATTCACTAGTCAACATTTACGCAGAAAATACATTTGAACTAGTTCTGTCTGAGTTTAAGGCTACTGTGGACCCCTGAAACGCACGGCTGTTACATTCTCAGAGAACTTGCGAATTTTGAAAAAACATGAATTTTGTATGTGGTCAAAATAAAAAACAGGATCGTTTAGGTTCAAACACATTTGCACATAAGTAGAATTTTCTCTGAGTTCTTGGTGCAACACATGTTAAATTACAATTTAATTAATTCTCTGCGTATGATAACTAAGGAGTCTAACATGGTCCACTCCACCTTCAGGGCCTGGTTTGAGTGTGAGTTAAATAAACACGTGATGCATGAAGTGAAATCAGGGAAGGAGTATGGCTTCTGGATGTGTTACTGTCACATCAGAACACCAGCTATTGTTTGTGTAAAAACAGATACTTCTTGATTCAATTCCTTATCAATTCTGTCATCACTTCTGCTTGGTTTAGACCAGAGGTCTGCAACCTGTGGATCTGTGGCCACATGTGGCTCTTTGGTCCCTCTGCAGTGGCTCTTTGAAAATGTGACCAAATGTAACAATATATATAAATATATATATGTTCGGTTTTTTTTTAACCTAGGAACTCAGAGAAACACAACAAACCCCGGCCGAACATTAAAACAATGACAACAGAGACAAATGAGATTTTTRAAGATTCACTTTGCAAAGAGGAGAAGTTCCCGTTACTTAACTCTGCTCGAAAGCCTAGTGAAGTCCAGAGAAGTTCTGACCTCCGTGGGCGTGATCTGTCTTTTATTAAAATACGTAAATATTGCATCACAAGTAAAACAACGAATCAAACATCATTTGCTGGAGAATATAAAAAACACATAAACCAATGAAAATGCCGTTGCTGGGGTTACGATATCTTTAAAGGAACAATGAATACTTGTTTTTTACCCTTGAACGTGGAAACTTACAGGAATGTGGAGAAATGACGGTTTCGGCAATTAATTTTAACCTAATCTTACAGAAACTGCTCATAAGCAGTTTCTTGGCAGCTAGATTAACCTTATCTTACAGAAACTGGCCTTGAGTGCAGTTCCCATCCGGCTGGCTCATCATGTTCCTGTAGAAAACACATTTTGAACTAAACATTTGTAACGTACTCAAAACTTTATTTGATACACACAATGAACTTTAATGAAATGTAATAAAGAAAAACCTTTTCAATATATATATTGTTTTTTATATTCACAACAGAAATAAATTTGTATTCAATACGTGATCAATACTACTAATACAAATAGTAAAACATGCTAGCTATTGCTAATAATAATAATAATAATAATAATAATAATAATAAAATAGTCCAACTTCTTTCTATGATCTTTCTCTCAAATTCATTAGAATTACCTTTAAAGAATTTGAAGATCACATAATAATAAGAAATAGAAAAAAAACATGCCTGCATAGTTCATTTGAACTAGATTTTATGAAATTCGGTAAAAACTATACAGTATTATTTTATTTACATGAATCTGGTCTTTTCATATGTCCTGATGTGCAAAAATAATAATAAATAATACAAATCACAATGTATATTTTAGTTTTATAATGTCAACTCCACTGGCCTTAAAGATTCCCGAAGAGGCCTCGAAAAGGCCCACGAACCACCAGTTGATAATCAGAGTTGTAGCTTGTTTTGTGGCTCTGGACACATTTCATTAGTGAGCCAAGTAGCAGAAATGACTCTTGATCATAAAGGTCGCAGATCCCTGGGTTAGACAATAAAATGTAGGGGCGGCTGTGGTGTAGTGGTAGAGCAGCCGCCTTGGGACCAGAAAGCCACAGGTTTGACTCCCCGCCATGCCCACGTGTCTTGGTGTCCTTGAGCAAGACACCCAACTCCCAACTGCTCCCAGGTGCTCACAAAGCTGCCCACTGCTCCACTTGGGTGTTTCTCACGTGTGATTGGTCAAATGCAGAGCACTGATTTCACCCTTGAATGGGAACATGCACTGATCACAATAAAGCACATTTACCTTTAGAACACTGTTTTTGTGCACAAGTCTATTCACGGGCTTCCTCCTTCCTCCTCCCAAAAGGGTGCAAACCTTTCACCACAAATCTAGTCACTGCTTGATGTTATTCATTTATGTTTGCCTTTGTCATTTTACCCTTCCCTGTCTGGATGAAGGGTGGAGCTAAAGGTGTGCTAGCACCAGCCTCTGAGCCTGCTAGACTCTGACAGTCCCCGTCAACTAATGTCACTTCAATTCAAGAATATTTTATTAATCCCAAAGGGAAATTAAATATTGTAACTCATGATATGCTGGTTAATTTAAAGAGTTATTATTATCAGATACTGATGGCTGTGGGCAGGAAGGATCTCCTTAATTGGTCCGTCTTACTGTGGATCTGAAGAAGTCTGACAGAAGACTCTGTTGAAGTGTGACAGTCTGATGAAAAGGGTTCTAAGGGTTGTTCATCATATGACAGAAAGCCGATACTCTGGATGGGCTTTTGTTTGGTCTTGAAATTCATCCAACTTGTTCCTCAACAATCTCACATATCATGATTGATGGAAGAGATGTTATCAAAGGAGATGGAGATTATTCATACAATATAATGAAACCAGTACAACAAAAACATAATCAACAGTACCTGGAGGAGTTTAACATTATCTGTGACATTTAAGACGAAAAAGAGTGTTTTGTTGTTAGCTCCACTTCCACCACCAAACACCAATTATTGCAAATTAACAGCATGCTATGTGGTCAGAACCTTCTGCATGTTGGAAGTATTTCCCTCCTTTTCATGAGTTACAAGTGGCCATAGTTTGATCTCTTTTTTTTTTTCTGGTGAAATTCAACCATATGCTAGACCACATGTTAAACGTCTGTGTAACCTAACCCTGTTCATTGACAAAAAAAATTATTTTTTTGTACTTAATATGAAAATTGTTACTTACATCAATTGTAAACTTTAAATTTATGATTAAATGCAATAAAATAAATTTAGAAGGTGAAAGATAATAACAATTGTCTAACCCCTGAGCTGTTGGTTTTAAGTAACTTGAGTAATTTAGTTGGATAGCTCAGTATTAATGTCTGAAAATAAGCTGCTTTACCGTCAGCATCAACCAAAAATTAAATCTGCTATAACAGGGTATCAGCGGGGTTGTAAAAAGTATTAAAAGGTAGTAAATCACATAAGCAAAAATTAAAGCCATTAAAAAGTATTAAAAGGTAATAAACGCCATCTGACGAGGTATTAATTTTTAAACAGCTAGCGCACTTTCCCCATGCTGGAATCTGATGCGCTGCTGCATGGAAAACAGATTTAAGAAACATTTCTCAGGCCCAATCTGAGACGCAGCTTTAACTTTAGACAGGCCTATTAGCCAATCAGAAATAGTGTGGAGGCGGGACTTAAGTATCTCTAGTAGCAGAAGTTGTTGCAGTGTTTTAAATAAAATATATTTGTCAGGACACGTCTGAAAAAGAACAGGAGACGATATCAAAGCTGGATGATTGTTAAAAGTCAGAAAAGATAAACCTGCAGAAGGATTACTGACTCCTCCCCCTGAGAGGAGCCGTGTGTCGGTGGATGCTAGCTTTAGCTAAAGCTAGCTGGAGCAGACAGGTGCAGCCGGTGAGGAGATTAAAGTGATGATTGTTATAAGAATGACCCGGGAGATAACATCAATCAACAGGTGTGTGTTTTCTGGGACAAACTGACACAAAACAGTTATATTTGTTTGAACAAAACAAAAGTAAATTAAAGCTGTGTCTCAAATTTTTTTCATTGTTTTTCCACAAAACTCTCAGGGAGGGCATTCTCTATGAAGATTTCAGTTTATGTGTTTGTAGATAAATATGAGCTAATTTAAATCCTACACTGTATTAAAGGGTTTTGGGAATTTGAGCTAAATTGTTTATTTGGGATC